AAATTGTGTGATTTAACAGAAACCGAAAACCGAACGTTCTGTAGCTATGGCGGACGAAGCAAACAGAACTGTAAGTACCTCTCGACTGCAAATTGTTTAATCATTAGGCTCCAAATCCTTGGATATTCTAATGAGATAAGTTACAGGCTTTTCTAGAGATTCAAGCAAGCATGATTGAACTCTCCGGGAAGCTAAAGCAGGTATTGCTATTTGATTAGTTATCTTAACATTTTGATTTCCCATTTGGTCGTTTGAGAAAAGCTTATTAGTTTTAGAATCAAACGTAAAAGTGCTTGCTTCTATTTTGTTACTTGTTCAACTGTCTGTCCAGTGGTAGAACCTCAATATGCTTACGGTTTGTGTGAATATGATTCAAAAGTTAAAAGCTGACATATGTGAATGAATGTGGCTTTTAGGTGCAAAATCAGATGCGCAACAAAGAGGGGGATAGAAAACGTGCGTATTTAACCTTGGAAGAGCTGCGGGCATTGCCTCAAGACACCAACACCTACAAGTCAATAGGTAAAACGATTCCTTTCTCTGGTTTTACAAGGACAGTAGCTCATCTCATCGTTTATCAAATGCCTAACCTCTGTGTTTTCTTCTTGTTTTCAGGAAGAACGTGAGTGATTACTAGCCCCTCCTCCAACTAGGCCTTGGGAGAATTTTGAAGACTGATGATAGTTTGCTTTGTATATGGTGAACAGGTTTGTTCTAGAGCCCAAGACAGTGCTGGAAGGTGAACAAGAGCAGAAACTGAAAGACAGTGAGGCTGCCATTGCTTCTCTACAGGTACATCATTGCAATTGTCGGCTAACGTTAATATAGTCTGTATGTGTTTCGATGATCTGGTGGTGGGTTAGTAGGAGAGACTATTGAAACGTTTTGTAACATAGTTGCTCGTTAATTTGTCAGACATCCAAGGAATACTTGGAGAAGCAGACGGCAGAGGTGGAGAACAACTTGAGGGAGCTGTTGCAGCAAGAACCAGGCATTGCTCGACAGATCATGTCCATGTCTATGTAACTTCTGTGTTATCCCAAACCTTGAACAAAAGTATACTCTCAAGTCTTAACTCTGAGTTTGGTTCTGCTTTATAAAAAAGCTTGTGGGATTGAAAAAAATGAGTTGATGTATTCCGTATTTTTATCAGTTCAGAAATATTCTAAAATCTGGCCAACTGATATTGCAAATAAACTGAGCTGTCTTACAAGAAAATTAGGGATTGCGTTATAACATTGTGAATGATAAACCAATACAACTTGCGAGCATTGGCAACTCCAAACTTAACCTCACAAAATATAATGAATTCAATGTAACAATAGTCAAAACTCAAGTAATGTTCTTTTTAGTAAATGGTTAGTTAACAATCAAAAGCATATAAATGTTCATAGAGATGCGCATACACATCAAACACCCAACAAATACAATTCCTTCATGTACACTGATTTTACATAACCTCTCAAGTACACTCAGGGATCAGAATGTCTCAGCATCTAAGCAGTCCCATTAAGATGTTCTTCATAATAATGGCTTCAACGTCTAAAGCCGTACCAAAACTTAAGATTGATTGACGTAAAGAACGGGAACAAGTCCAGCCACCTTCCCATCTCTGCCAGGCCGCTTCTTCTTTACCTGTCAGTTTATAAGTTGATCTCGGTTATGTTTTAGGTTCTGAAAAGCTCTACTTCTCACAAGACTCATGTATTGTCTTTCTAAACCAAATATTACTTACGTAAAACCAGCCATCAACTTCATACTCTATCTCCAATTCCTCGTCTGCCGTCAAGTTTAGCTGCAACACACCCAAAGGTGTTTTAACATTTGCATCATAACAGATTTTTCCAGCAACAAGATTACAGTATAGCTAATCATCCATATTTCTGAATCGTTTAACTGGTCTTATCTTAATTACCAAAGGAAAAAAAAGACAAAATCAAGCTTACCTCATCATCTCCTCCCGCCGTAAAGTCATACAGCGCTGTTCCAAATCTTGTACTAGTGGATTTCCTAGGTTCTTCATCATCTGATTCATAACTTCGAGAACCAGATCCTGCTACAGGGTTTTCAAACGATTGACGACTCTGTGGCTCAGAATATGAATACGGCGGAGGAGGCTCTTCTCTAATCTGAAAGGAAAAGGAGAAGGACGAATAAGAAATGGCCACAATAACAATAACAGCCCATTTCACAGCATATAGAAACACAGAAAAACGAATAACAGCTTACCGGAGAACCATAGCCCTCATATGTCGACTGGTATTTGCTTCCACCCGATTTTGCCTATTTGAATTGGCACATTCGTATAGTTAAAATTAGCTAAGAGCTGCATTGATTCAGTCACACCATGCATCCCACTCAGACACTAATAATTCATTAGTTCTTACGATCATATATATATAGTTTGATTTTATGCTTAAGCTATGAGCATGCTTTTTGCTTTTAAGACACAACTTTCATGCATCTCATATTCTACGGTCACTATGTTTATGAAGGACAAACTTCTGGAACATTATTATACATATTTTTACTTCACCATGAAAACAGAATTAGCTGTCATATTCCATGCAACAAACTGAACCAAACTTTCTTCGAGTTCTCAGTTGTCATTGTTGCTCATACTTGGGATCTTTATGAAATAATCCATCTGAGTGATGATATTCTAGCACCACATCATCGCATAATTACAGGAAACTCGATGCCCCATAATTGTCACAAATAGCATAATAGGGTAGTAAGGAATGGAATCAACAGAAGAATTGTTGTAGCCTACCGTTGCCTGTGACGAAGGCTTTGAACTGAACAATGATGGGTAGTTCATTCCACCAAAGTGAGAGGAAATAGAGCTTTCCACGGATCCAGTAGAATCTGGAGACGATGAACCGGATCTCACATCTTCTTCCTGTAAACACAACAAAACTAATTTTTCAGCATCCCTAAAACTAAAAAAAATAGTTTATTCCAGTCATTTTCAAGAAAGCCTTGAAGATGGATAAGGCTAACCGTATACCTCCAATTCGTTAGTTTCTAAAAGAGTCTTAGCCCACATGTCATCATAGCCAACCGAAGGTCTAGAGAAGACATTCTCTTCCTCGACATCTGGTGCATCTGTTCCAACTCCAGCAATGAATTCATTGACCTGACAAGTATTATAAAGGTCTAAGATTCTTTTTGAGACATCAGAAATAAGTAACCACTATAAAGTAATTAATTATTTACAAATGAACACCGATAAATCATAAGTACACATGACCAGATAATCAGATAGAATTATTCACTAGTACTGAAACCTTAATAGCATGTGAATACAACTATATAAGCATATTTGCAATCTACATTTAATCGGAAAAGTCAATACCCAAACTTCATTACAATAAGTGCAGTCCTAAAAGCACTCATTATTGACCCCATTCAGACGGTTCCGAGCTAAGGCATGGTAGTGGATTGTAATGTGAAACGGTTAAGTAAGTCTTTTCCCAAATCAAGGATTTACTCTACTGGGTAATCCATGCAACTATTCTTTCTGATTTCCTATTCCAGAAAATAATTGTGTCCCATGTCCTTCATCTAACTATAAGAAGAATATATAAAGAGTAGACACAGGCCTAAACTGCACACATACTAATCCTTTATTTTAAAAAGTCAGATAAAAATGGCAACTGACCCTACTCATTGCTGGGGCGTTGTTTCCAAGAAGACCATCATCACCAAGGTTTGCAGCCCAAGCATTCACCAAATCATCATCCAGACCACTGGAGTTTGAGGCAGTAGGGGCAGGCTGAGTGGACTCGTAAATTAAGTCTGAAATTCCACTAGCAACAACAGCTGGATCGGTTGGCCCGGTCGAAGCAGTTATATTGTGCTTTGTGCGGTATATGTCAATGAGCTTTGCACTTCATAGGTTAGAAGGAAAAACAATAAATATGTATTTTCATATCAAAAGGGAATAGAGAGAGAAACAAAAACAGGGAACAGGGAAGCAAGGATGCAGTATACACAAAAAATGGTCGAGAGCACGATCACCAAACATGAAATGTAAAAATCTGGATTTCTGTTGATTCAAATGTTATAGATAGTTGACTACATTGAAACAGGCATAAAATGGTTCTAATTTTGTCAGATTCTGTGATAAAAGTGACTTAGATAGGATATATGCAATGCAGTAAACTCTGTTAATTTAGATAGGCTTACAGCATAAAAAGCTAACGCAAAATGTCTCTCGGGAATATATAAAAAAGGGTTTATGTTGTCCTATTTTCCCTACCTTCTGCTCTATGCAAGGTAGGCTGTTGGTGACTGATATTATGAGTTCAGAATGCTACCTTATCGGACCCAGGGGTAAATACTTGGCTCTTGGAATATAGCAAAACATGGAAGCAAAATCTAGTAGCCTCTCATGGGTTTCGTAGAGTTTTTTCAGCTCCTCATCCTTCCATTCTTTGTTTGCATTATCATGGTTGCGTATCTCTCTTGTTATCACAGAAAAAAATCATGTCAACCATAAAATCATATAGAGGTTACATGGATGAATCACTAGGAAAATAAAAAGATAAGTTTATTTCTTACTTGATTAATTCGTCTTGTCCAACATACATTTCATCCAGAACTTTTAACATAGGAGTTATTAAAACTCCAAGTCCTGTACCACTAGCTCCTTGGTCTTCTCCATTACTCAGGTGCATTTCAGAAAGTTGAGACTGTACACCACCTTCCGCCAAGGTGTACAAGAACTCGTATATCTGCAGCCTGAAAGGTTCACCAGATCTAATTGCTATCGTAGTAAGAGCTTGAACTGCAACAATTCGGACCTGTGTATCCACGAAACATAAACACTCAGGCAGGAAACCCTAGAAGTAATACTCATCTTAGTAGCCTATCCTGACAGTAAAATCGTGTCTATGCTTCACAAGACTCCAACTAAAGTGGCAGGAAGAAAATCAAAAATGAGATGTAATAAAAATCACAACATATAATCAGCTGTTTTCTATAACAGTAAAGGTCTAAAACAGTTAGTAAAATTTACAAAAACAAGAGAGACCAAAAAAGGTTATTATCGTTAACTTTCATTAGTTTGTTCTTATAATTTCTGGTCAGGCCCAATTACTCCAGGTATCACATTCTGTTTCATGCTAGAAACAAAAAAGAATAAATGAATCCGTAAGAAGAAACAGCCAAAAGCTAGCTAGATAGCCATCTTAATTCATCAGACCGCCCCAAATCCCCACTTATAAGAAAAGGGTCACAAAATATGGTCTTCACTCTACAATGTAATCAAATGATTATTCAAATCAGCTACAAACAGAGAAAGACTACTGCCAAGACTAGCCGAAAAAGTTCCTAGACAAGGTCTAGGATCAACGAAAACTGTAAGAAAATCAGGCAATCTATATAAATAGCTCAGTTAGAAACAATAAAATCAAATCAAAATATATGACCAACAAAATATAGTGGTATACCTCCCAGCTACCACTAAACGCACACCTCTGGAGGCGAGTTAATGCACCAGCTAGAGTAGGATTGCGAGAACTGGCAGCAGCAACCATTTTATCTGCATCTAACATCATAAGTGCAGTGCCCGGTGGAGTTGCAGATTCCCATGCATATTCAGAAGCGGCGTAGTTTGCATTTTCTCCAAGGAACCATACCTGAAACGATATTCATTCTAAGCTAATGTGTTGAAATTGTTACAAAATGCATGTAAGCCCTCTGCGGAATGCTTACCGCAGCTTGCACCAATTTCTGCAGCGCCAGAGCTGACTTTGGATCCGATGCAGACACCCTATCAATTGATGTCAGTCCTGACATGGATCCTGGCTGTGGAGGTGGTAGATCAAGTACTATCGTGACTGCTTCCAGAGCTGTGTGTTTCCCATCAGGACCAGCTCCGACAAGACATGTCTAGCAGTATAATAAATTATATCAAAATTAACTACTTGACGTAACAAAAATTCATCAAAATTTGAGCCTTTCTAATATGCAAGGACTAGTTTTATACAAATTATAGCTACCAAAGACTAATTAAACAA